AAATTTCTTTTAATAAATCATTACTTAAAGTAAAGTCATCATTCCAAAACATAATATGAGTATAAGTTTTCAAAAACACATGTTCATTATCAGAGTAAACATTCACAGGCTGTCTAATCTATGGTGTGTCCCATGCGATCACCTCGAGCTCTTCCCTCCGCTACGGAAGTACCTGAAACCAAAACTGAAAACCATAAGCACGAAGCTTAGTGATTTCCCCACCCTACCACATACCATGCAGAACCATACTGCACATACTGGGCACGCCCCCCTATCTTGGGCCTCGCCCCTACCTCGGGCCTGCCCTACCTCGGGCCTCGCTCGCTACAACGGCCCGACCGCTCCAGGCCCCGCCTGGCTTTGAGCCCGGCTCGGATACATATCTGTTTTACTTAGGCCTCGCCTGTCACAGGGCCTCGCCCATCAACAAGTAATAACACATAAACATTTCACAACACATAACTAACACATGCAACTGGTTCTGTCCTGAGGCCTTGCCTATCCTGGGCCTTGCCCATGTCCTCTACTAATGAGTCATGGAACCCCGTCCACGCTACTAATGGTAGTGAGGTACGGGCCTAGCCCACTCTCACTCCTATTCTAGTTCGGGCCTCGCCCCTATTATTCTACTAATGAGATATGGAAACCCATCCACACACTGCTATTGGTGAGATATGGGACCTCGCCCACACTCACCTCCCTACCAGGCACATACATGTATCACACAGACAACAATTCCCTGGGCACCCACCCGCTATACTGGACCTCGTCCTGAAAATAATAATAGCATACTGTGCCTAGGGCTAACCCCCACTCATAACTACATGGGCCGGCATTGTGGCCTTAGACCCATTCACACAAAGGGAAACTCACCTGCACTGGCTGAACTTGCTGACGATCTTACTAGTTGCTGCCTGACAACTCACGATACTCCTGCTCCCTTGCTCCTCGAACTACCAATATCAATGCAACACTGAGTCTAATTGACCCCCGAAAGACAACCAAGTCCACCCTAGTCCAAAGTCAATGTCCCGGTCAAAGTCAACCTTCCAGGTCAACCCTACTCGCCGATCACCCTACTGACTCGCCGAGTTCAAAATGATCAGATTCCTTCCATTCGCGACTCGACTCGTCGAGTCTACTGATTTCTGAGTCCAGACCTGTCCAACTCACTGAGTCTCCACCCGACTCATTGATTCGAGTCACAACCTGAAGGGTTTGGGGTTTCGCGACCTGACTCGCCGAGTCTAAGAACAGACTCGCCGAGTCCAAGGCAATCTTCATACGACTCGACGAGTTGTTCATCCCACTCGTCGAGTTTCTCCACAACTTCATGCTACTCGTCGAGTCCACTCAAAGGACTCACCGAGTCCCTTCAGTTCTCCTTACATGCAGAGGATTTTAGAGTCATGCATGGACTCCAAACTGTAGATCTACCCTTCCCAAGCCTATTCCACACGTAAAGTTGCAAACTTTACGTGTAGAGAAGGAGATCTAGGCAAAACATGCCAAAAACTAGGGCTTAAGGCCAAGGGGCTTCAAAATCGACTTAATGGCTGATACTTTATGCTTCTCCAGACCATAACACACTTGGATTTAAAGTAGCAACTCCAGATCCGGCTTCTAACCCATAAGGGTGGCTAATCATGGCTTAAAAGCCCCAAAACTCACAACCAAAGTTAGATCCAAGAGAAGGAAATGACTTAATACCTTCAATACTTCATAAAGGTTCCACAAACTCCAGATCTGAAGCAAATCCTTGAAGCTTCACTGATTCCTCTCCTTCTTCTTCCTTCAAATCACCCAAAAATGGCTTGGAAGCTTGAATGCACAACAATGGAGGCTTAGGCTTCGTTTTCTGAACAAGGGGGGCTCTAAGGAACCCTAATGGAGAGAATAAGGAGCTTAAATAGTGCCCAAAGTCCTGGATTTAGGGTTTTCCTCGCACATACCCTACTCGCCGACTCGCCGATTTGGTCACTTATTCCTCGACTCGGATCCCGCTCGGACTCGTCGAGTCCTTCCTTGGACTCGCCTAGTCGACCCTTAAATTAGGGCTTTTCTTTCCTTTCTTGGCCTTTGAAACTTTGGGTGTTACAACTCTCCCCCACTTAAACTAAACTTCGTCCTCGAAGTTTACTATACTCTACTGCCGGCGATCTGCCTCCAAAGCCCCACCATCCATTCCAACACCAGCTGCCTAACTTTGCTGGCCTTCCGTTCAATCATTCAGACTAACGTCAATCCTTACCGATAATAATCTCGGGTGTATCCCGACCCTGAACATTCTGTAACACAACTTACTCAACCGACAATCTTTTTGGTATTCTCCGAGTACTACAACATAGGGGTTCAACCCTTCTTTCCTTGCCCCTCCCAAGGCAATGCTCCATAACCACCTATCCCTTCTGCCGCGGTGAAGACCCTTTCCACACCAAATCTATTACTCCCGCCACTCCCAGTACGGGTCATCGTTGCCAGTACCCACTGGGCATTCTTCCTACTATCATTCGGTGTCGAGCACCCCACGATCGACTAACTGAATCCCACCATACTTTGCATCCCCGCACTGCTACTGACGAGAAATCCTGGTATGCTTATCTGGCTTCCGAATGAACTGAGACCATCCTGGTCCCTACCAACCTATCAATATCTGGATCACCGACTCCCACCGATTACTGACCCATCACAACCACTAGTTGCTCCCAGCGACATTCGAAGATACTTCCGCCACCTATACTGCTCAATCTATTCTACCATGCTGGCACTTACAATTTCCTGGGATCCCCAATCCCCTTGCCTAGATGCTAAGATCCTTACCAGGTCCCACCTGTGCTGCTAAAACTCACGGGCCTTGCCCACAGGTCTCACCCAACCACACTACTGAGCCACCCTGCTCTCAGGTCTCACCTATACTGCTATCCTCATACGGGCCTCGCCCGACTATATCCTAGAGCGGCCTCTTCCAAGGTCTCATCTCTCAATGGCTATACAGGCAACTCCATATCATTCTCATCCATTCCCCATTCCCGATCCCTATCTGAATGCTAGTAGATAAGGGCCTCGCCCCGACTCCGCCAACGAAGCTACTACGAAATGCTACGGCTGCCCCGTAGTCTTACAATACTTCCACCACTGACTACTAGTGAATGCTATGGCTGCCCCACAGTCTTACATCACTTCCCACCACTGACTGCTAACACGAAAATAACTCCTGCAATTTGGCCTCAAGGTCTCCATTCCGACTCACACGCATTCCACATGCGGCCCTTTAACCTGAATCCGAACCACATACCCACCATTACCCTTTACACGCATGCACTGATGGGAAGTTCTCAAACTCCCAACCCTGAACTACTCGATTCGTCAACCGCTGAACTACCTTCTTTCCTTCTCAGAATCATATACCCGATCTGGATTCGCGTGCCCTTACCCTTATACACTCGGAGGATTCTCCCCCACTTGGATCCTACTTACACCTCGATGATCGATGAGAAGAAATCCCAATCCTTGCTACCATAATCAATCCGTTGAGGAATCCCAAGCTTACCATAGCTAAGGATCCAACCTGTCCATTCTAAAACTTATACGGCTCCGAACTAGTGAGACATACCGAGTCTCTCCAAGGCATGCTACAGATACTGCACCTAAGTAGCCTTCTTCGATACAACACACCCCTTAACTACTAACCCAAATATCCAAGGTATGCAAATGGCATAACTCGATCATAATGAACCCGCTTGAAAATAAAATGCTCAACCGCTAATGATGCAGAACCATAACAATATAATCATGCACAAAATAAAAGAACTGAAAACGGAAGTCGCATACCTGCAATGTCCGGCGCTGCTCGCATCTCCAAAGTAGCCATCTGAAAAGCCCTGCCTCCAACTGCAGGCGCCTCCACACCCTTGACGATCGTCTGTGATCCTCAAAGTTGCAGGGGCAGGTTCCATCACCCGTCCTGCTGAAAGCAAACTGGGGCACTGGGCCTTCTTGTGGCCCCGCTGATTGCAGTGAAAACATATCAAGTCTGATCCCTGAGTGATGGTAGCAGTACAATCTCTGCTAAAATGACCAGTCCGACCGCACCTGAAACAGCCAGACTCACCACCACTACCACTCCTGCA